CAATTTTTTATTATAACAATAATTATTATAAAAAATGATTATTAGATTAAAAATAATAAGCTAATTAAAAAAAATTACAATATTTTCTTAGTGAGGTATATCCACATATCTATTTTTTTATTAAAGGAATTAAGATAAACATTACCTAGGTGATCTTGAGAAATTTGAGCTGTTGGTATGTCTTGGATTTTTTCTTTAGTTAATGGTGGTGGTCCTGCTCCATCAATTTGATTTAATAATTGTGATACAATTGAATCTAATCCATCTCTTCCCCATACATAGTCTCCAGGATTACCAAGTAAAAATCTACTGCTGGAGTCATAGATTAGCACATTTTTACTCAAATATACTATGATAAATAATAATACTCTACTTACACTGGACCAGTAGCTCCACGGGAATTGGCGTAATCAGCAAAATTGACTATTACATCTTCAACTAAATTTTCAATAGTACCACTTCCTGAGCTTCGCCTAGGGCCTCTATAATAAAATATCAAATGTTTCATTATAATTGGATTATTAGATCAGACTAGAGACATTTTTAGATGTCAGTGGGTACTTAAGTTAAATGGTGCCAGTATAAGACAACAAGACTTTGTCTTCACATATCCTAATTACAAATTAATATAACATTGATTAAAAAGTAACACTACCTATCTCATTTTTGTCAATTTTACAGGGAAACAAAAAACAGTTTTCTATTAAATTGATAATACCTAGGATGCTATCTATTGATTTTATCAAAAATCTGAGTCTATCATTTGATTCTCTATGAAAATTTACTTATAACATGGACAGCATAGTGTTCAAACTCATTTTGATCAAAATGTGAGATGGGTGGTGTTGCTTCTTAAGCAACAATAAGTCAAATAATTTTCATACAATTATTCTAGCACCAGTAAATCNCATACAATTATTCTAGCACTAGTAAATCAAGAAATCAAAATTTAAGGATTGTTTATTGGAGATTATTTTGCAATTACAACTACATTATTTAAGAATATCAATAGATAAAATAGAAAGAGCAACTTTGCATTTAGAATAAATAAATAATTAGTAACTTTTACTTTCATATACAATTGTGCCTCTTTCTTACAACTATTATTCTGAGATATTTAAATTATAAAATATTTTTATTAGATTGCATACTCACTAATTAAGGAGAATCATTAATATATAGATCTATAGTTTTAAGAAAGCTTGTTTTTACATACTAAAAATTGAATGTTTATATTACAAATCTATATCTGATCTTTAATGGGAAAACACATAATATTTAGACAAATAATACCAAGTATTACAAGCACCTTAATAGTAAACACTAAATACTGAAACTTAATTACAAACCTTCCAGGTTGTAAAGTCATTACATGAGGTCCCCTAGTTGTAAATCTACGGCGACGAATATTTGAACTACGACGTCCACTTAATTCACCATCACTTAACATACCATTTACCTAACAATAAAAAGTATTACATTTAGTACATTAAATATTATATATATATATTTAATAATGAAACTACTGTTCCATTAACATTTTAAATGTGTTTGATATTGCAAAAAATATATAGAATCATTGATTAACCATGCCTAAGCAATATTATCATTATTATTATTTTATTAAATTTACAACTCCACTGCTGTGGTCATTAGTTGCATTTAGAATTAAAAACTAAAATTTACAAAACTAATATTTTAACTAATAGAAAAAATAATATATATATATATATATATATAAATACATATATACATTGTTTTTATATTATTTTATGTAAGGAAATGAATGATTGATAACAATTTTTGAATCAATATTTTAAAAGATAATAAACCATTTATACTAGGGCAGGAATAAAGCACAATCATCTGTTTTTATGTTTGGGTATATATGAATCATACTATTCTTCTCACTCTAGTAGTATCTTTTAAAACACTGGTTCAAAAGTTATTATTGTACAGTCATATTCTTAATTTTAAGCTAATTAAACATATATGTTTTCATTTTAAAACTTAAATTGATACTGTTTTAAATGGGAGTGGGAGGATAATTTTTTTTTAATTTATAACATAATACTATTATCTTCTGAAAAGAAAAAACTATAATAAATCTTATAGTTTTAAATATATTGCACGTGGGATAGGATCAATCACATTGTATTTTTAATATATTAGTTAATTAATAATAGTGAAATATAATTTTTGGTTTACCATAAAATGTACATTTCCGTAATCCATATCATCCTCATCATCAGGTTCTTCTGGAGTCTGTTGTTCTTCTACTTTTTCAATGAATCCTAGATTACAAGTGGGACAAGTATATTCCTAAAAATTAATCAATTTTTAGCACAAGTTTTATATTTCAAAACCATTTACATACATCAGTTACACTTCCTATTTCTGTATCACAGTTATGGCAAAAATAACGGTTATTGTACACATTATCATTGTGACTGGATGTACTCTCCATAATTGTTTACTAACAGTTGCCTAAAAATGGCAAACCAACTAAAAAATATAATGTAATTGAATGTTTATTTAATCTGCCACAATATTTAAAGTGACTTGATTTTTTTTTTTTCTAATAAAATATTCAATACAACTTACGAATAAAAATAATACAAAGTTTTTACTTCTATATGTTATAAAATTCTTCACTCTAAATACATAAATTTAATCGCTAGAAGTTTGTCAACATATACTAAATTAACTCATAATTTTAGACTCGTAATTTGTAATCTCGAAGAAATTTTGAAGTTTGAACTGATAAGTACTGCAAGGTAGCTACTTTATAAGATTACACAACATCGATAGTTTTTAATCGATACTGATTTTGCGGATTGCTATCATTACTATGATAATTCAATATTTCTAATAAATTTTAAATTATCAACAAATAATATTTTTGGAGTTAACAATTTATATTCGTGTTTGACATACTATTATAATTGTGGTGTAACTTCAACATGTGTTATTTTGATTCTTTTTATTTTACAGGAGAGCCAAACTAAAAAAGAAATTACATTTAACGTTACACAAAATTTATTTTCCAAACATTTATATTCAATATATTGTTAAACAATATTGATATTTTTTCTAAAAATCATCGATTTATAGATATATAGTCAAGAAATATTGATATACATGTGAAAAAGTAGAAGTTAGACTAAATTTAAAATACTTATTTTAGTTGTGTATCATTGAACACCATTTCCATGCAAGTTGGAAAAAAACAAAATACATTTTATTTAGAACACACATTATTCTGATTTTGAATAATGATAATAAATTATTTACCTAAATAAAATTGTAGTTCTAATATGTAATTATTACAGGAAGATTAAGATATGTTTTCAGTAATATTTTATTTGAAATTGATTTATTAAATTGTTTTTCTTACACTTGAAATCAGTCCATTTATTCTTAAATTAACAATATAAATCCATTCAAATATAGATTAGAATAAAATAATTAATGCATTATTTCAACCTGATTTTTTCATATAAATATGACTTGAATTCTATTTAATATACCATCCAGTATTGAGCTATATACGACCTACAGTTCGTCATGTAATTTAAAGTTGGGTTAGATTGATTATCGTTTGAATTTTCGACCATTTTTAAGAAAAACGCTCACTGACGCCAGTGTTTTGCAACTTAAAGTTTATAATTTTTACCAGACCGCCAAGAGACATTTCTCTGATATCACAAAAAAGAATTAATTCAATNCCAGACCGCCAAGAGACGTTTCTCTGATATCACAAAAAAGAATTAATTCAATCTGCTTATTTTTTATCATTCTACTAGCTTTTTCCTAAAAGTCCATGGGAATGTATTTAATGTATGTGTCTTTGCACATGTATCTCTATTAGGTATTGTTTTTTACATTCTTTAATATGTACGTTTTCTAATTCTAACGAATTTTCTTGTGTATATTCTAGATTTTTTTTTCTATAATACATACTTCAGAAATAATTTTTTTTGTAACATTTAATTGTTTATGAATTCTACTTTAAAATTTGGTATATTTATTAGTTTTTTCATATACTTTAAATATTGCTTTGTTTTCTGAATATGGTTCATTTAGTCAATGAAAATTTTGTTATATAAAATAAAATATATAATATCTGTTAATGATGTGTTATGAGTTATTTAATTTTTATAAAAGAAGTGTTTAATTAGGTTTTGAAGAGAAGTTAATTTTAGTTAAATTTATTTTTAAATTTTAATGAGGGGACAAATTTTTTTAAGTAGGCAGGCTATCATTTAATAGACATTTATTATTATTTTTTAATAGTATTGACACTCGTGAAATAAATAATTGCAATATTGTAATAAATTAACAATGAATTTAATATTTTCTATTTAAGCATTGTTTGAAGCATAGATATATAAATATAAATATACGTATCTATGTTTATAGTTAGAATATATTTTCATTGTAAAAAGAATCACACGTATTGATAAGAACAGAAGTAGTATTAATTTTTACTGTTCGTTGACGATATCGATTATTTTAAAATATCGTAATAATCGAAAAAGAAATTTTTAATAAAAAAAAGCTGTTTGAATTTTGGTTACTTGGTTATAAAATATATATTATTTGATATTAGGTCAAAAATAGTTCGTAATAATATTGTTAATATTTTTTGTATTAAAATATATTATTAAATATAGAATTGAGATAAAACGAAAAATTATATTTATTGACACAATATTTTATTCTTAGATTAGGTTTTTTTATTATGACATTGTTGTTATTCCTTTTTTTTAGAACACAAACAAAGTAAAGTAAAAGGAGAATTAGTAAAAGAAATTTTAAAATTAGAAATATATAACAACAACTGTTAAACATAATCTAAAAAATAAAAATAAAATTATTAAGCCAAAAAAAAAAAAATCCCTATTTAATGATAGTGATAGTAATGATGTTTTATTCTGTAAAAGTTTGAATTTTATTAGATTATTTTATTACTAAATTTTATTTTTGAAAAGAAAAGTTTGCTTTCAGTTATGACAAAAAAAATATATATAAAGAGCACTTATAATCTTATTATTATTATTATTGTTTAAAATCAAAACACTGAAACTATAATACTATTATTCAATAAAGAACAATTTCATCCATTTAATATAAATAATATGTAAAAGGATGTTCAGTAAGGAAACGGGTTTCTATTGTTCTCATTGTTTGTAACGTTATATCTGTCTTGTAACAAAAAAAAACTTATTTATTCATAATAAAAAGTAATTTGAAAATATTTGACTATCGTTATGAGGTATAGCTTTTATCTATATATTTTTTATATAAATATCATTATCTGATTTTTTGATTAATAATCTAAGTCTGATTTTAACAACGATGGTAACTTAATAGTATTCTTGAGAATAAAAAAATGGAAAAAACATTTAAATATTAAATTTAATTTTTGAATATAATTTTTTTGGGTATCAATTTATTTTTTCACCGATATTAGTTACAATTTTTTTTGTTCAATATTACGATATAATATTGCTGAAATTCAGTACGATATCGATATCCAAAAATATATCGTTGACGAATCCAATTATTTTTAATATTTTTTACACATTTAAATTAGTTTATTCTCATAGGGTTGTTGTAAATGGTATGTTATTGCATCATAACATAATTCTACTAATTTATCGATACCCAAGAATGTATTATAATTGAAATACTATTATATTATTGTGAAATTAAAGGCTAACCTTATATTATACTATTTACACCTTTTTAATTTTACACATTTTAATAATTAAATATTTACCATATTTTAGTTATGCTGATTCTAAAGAAAATTTTTCTTGTAAATTAACTATGTACACTTCATAAAAATATATCGATTTATCGAGCATATCGATATTTTATTACCATCCTACTATTAATTTGCAACCGATATACTCCAAATAGCTTGTATAGTGTATGTTATTATTCAGTAATTTATAAATTATCATTTGTATAAATGTCATGAATATATTAAGGCTTTTTCAGTATCAATTGCTGTTCATAATAATTATTATTTTTGCTGTCAATAATTCGTTAATTTTAACAACTTTTATGTTTTAATAACCAAATAATATAATAGAGAATTATTTTAATTTAATCCTTTTCAAAAATTAGAATATCATTTCGAAAACTTTTGATTTTTTACAAATAAAAAAAAAACAATTATTGACGTTACAGAAAATGGTGTAATATATGTAAATGTATGTAATACGATTTGATAAAATTATCGGCTGAATAAATTAGACCTTAGTATTCACTATATAGTTTATACAGTAATTTCGGATCTCAGATATGTATTTATATTCAATAATTATAATCTCAATAATATTTATAATATTTATTTTTAAATTAAAATGGAAAAATTCAAAACTAAATGACTTATTTGGACGCCATGTATTGGTAAATTTTTGGTGTTACTATTTAAAATTGTTATTTAATTTAATTTAGTATTTTATTAATACTAGGTTACTGGTGGTTCAAGTGGCATTGGTAAATATGCAGCTATGAAAGCAGCTAAAATGGGAGCAAATGTGACAATTGTTGCGAGAAATATTCCTAGACTCTTAGAAGCCGTCAATGAAATAAGAACTCAATTTATTACTGAAAATCAAAAAATTAAGTTTATATCTAGTAAATAAATACTTATTAAGACATTTTATTTTACTTTTAATAAATATATTTGAAAATTCATATTTATATATTGATATATTAAGTTGATCTTGCTAGTGACTATAACATTGTTAAGAAGGAGTTTGATCAAGCCACCAAAGAAATGGGACCTTTGTATATGCTTGTTAATTGTGCAGGTATGTCATTATGTGGTACATTGGAAGAAATGTCAACAGATGATATTATGGTATTTGAAAATTAAATAAAAAATTTTAATTATAGTTTTAAAGTTTATTGTATTATGTAGCAATTAATAAATGTAAATTTATTATCTACAATTCAAGCTACTAAAGCTGTTGTTAAAGAAATGAAATGNGGCTGTTGTCAAAGAAATGAAATATTTTGGTGACGGTATTATTGTAATAACTGCATCACAGGCAGCAATGTGTGGAATATATGGACTGGGTGTTTATAGTGCTACAAAGTTTGCCTTAAGAGGATTTGCGGAAGCTTTGAGTATGGAAGTAAGACACAAAAAAAATTTAATTCACAATATTTATCTTGTTGATGTTAAAAATTGCGGAAACATTTTTTAGACTAATCCATATGGAGTAAAAGTGACATTGGCCTTGCCACCAGATACAGATACTCCAGGTTTTGAAAATGAAAATAAAAGCAAACCATTAGAAACAAGATTAATTTCAGAAACATCTAAATTACTTAGCCCTGAACAAGTAGGATACAAAATCATAAAAGATGCTTTGGTAATAATATTTAAAATTTTACCTCATTTATAAATTAAATTAAAAAAAAGAATTTTTTATGAATGATGCATTGAGTAATAGCTAATCTAGACTAATATAATTGTCAAATAATAGATATGTGAATTACAACAACTAAAAAAGTCTACCTTCTTGTAAAATCTTACATTGAAGATTAAACTTATGATACCATACATAAATGTGTTATTAACTACATTTTTGATTGGATCTATGTGTCTATTAATTTGTTTATTATACGAAACTGCATTTATTGGGGGATATTTTCATCGTTCAAATTAAAAAAAAAAAAAAGAAGTAAAGGAAAATGTTTTGAAAGATAAAATATAAAAAGAATTATGTATCCTGGGCAGTAAATTTTCTAAATACTGCCCTGTTGTAATGTAATTGCCAATGTAATGCTTATTAGCTCATAATTTCTAAGTATTTGAAAAAAAATTACATTAAATTTGTAAGTATATTATATTCATTTAAATTCAAAAAAATTTAATTGTTTGATATTTTTATGATAGAATAGTCAATTTTTTTGCTCTTTTGGATTTGAAGGTCATATACTAACCATTGGGTGCCCTGGAATGGCTCCATTTTCATCTTATTTTGAATTAATTTGTCAGGTATATATATAATTTAAATTTCTATCTTTATTTAATATTGTTTAATGTTATTAAACTTTTATTTTTAGGTATTTTTATCAGGCATTCTAAGATTAGCAGTTGTTTATTATCAATATATATTTAATAAAATTATTTTAAACTGTAAAATGGAAAAAGAAAAAAGTGTAAAAATTGTAGCTCATTAGTAATATAGTTATAAAGAAGCTTAATTGCATTACACTATAATGCATAATTTAAAGCATTTTGTTTGGAGAGGATTAAAAATAAAAATAATTTTTATTTTAAATATTTAATAAATAAGTATGTTGAATTATCCTTATATATTATGTATAGCAGCGGTTCTCAACCTTTTTATAGTCACGTACCATATACACAATTTGAAAATGTTTATGTACCACCTGACCATTTTTTTGCTTATTAAAAATGTATACGTTTATGTTATATGTATAGAATTTTATTTCATTAGGAATTACAAAATGAGATAATATAAAATAAATATATGTATAATAAACTAATAAAGTATTTATTAGTTACATAACTAATAACTAGCTTACATAGAGCCATGTAAGCTAGTCTTGACAGCCATTCGTTATCACAAAACAATTTGGACTTTTCTTCATCAATATCAGTCAGAAGTAATAAAACTTAGCTCGAATAGCATAGTGAGGACTTTTCCTCATGAAAGCCACCTTACCTCAGTATGGAGAAGAAGGGATTTATGAGTACTGTCCATTTTGTTACATAGTACTGTGAATAGTCTTGAATTAAGAGGTCTGGCTTTGATTAGATTTACGATTTTTACAGCACTATCAAGAACTAACTCCATCAGAACAAAAATCCATACATTTACTCCACAGTAGATCTATTTCAATCAAATATTCATTAATGGTTGTAAAAATAATTTCAGATGTTGTGTAGGTTTGTAAAGGCTTACAAAACAAAAACTCTTCAATAATTTCATCATTGCGATCGAAACGTATAAATACCATTAATTAAGCCATGTTAGCAATATCAGTACTCTCATCAGTTTATAGAGCAAAGAAATTACAATCTTTCAAATAAAGCAATAATTAATTTTTTATATTCGATAACATGTCATCAATTCTTCTTTTGACAGTATCGTTTGAAAGTGACACTTTTTCTATTTTCCAAAAACACATCACACGATTTCTTTTGCTACTGGCAACACTAGTGTTACCCCAATTATGTGTGGTTTTCCATCTTTCGCAATAATTAAACTCGTTAATTAAGATGCTTTAACGATATTTTCATTAAAGTTCGTAAAACTAGACATGCATTTCGATTCCTTCCGGAAATGGTAACTTTTCTCTGAAAAAATTCAATAGGTATATTTTCTGTTTCTGGATGCTTCGATAATTGGTGGCACTTAAGTAGCGATGGCTTCATGCTTTGATTGGAAAGTGTTACTAGACAAATTACACATGGAGGTAACGGAGTAGAATTTTCAGAACTAAATTTTACAACGAATCCAAATTCTAAGTAACTATCGTCATATTTGCGATTCGCCTGTGTTTTCTGTTTTTTAGTATTTGAGCTTCCGCTTTCTAAAATATTTTTTATTTTACTTAATTTTATATCACAAAAAAGTACGAAAAAGCTACATAAAAATATAAAATTTTAATATAAAATATACTTGATGCAGACTACTCGTAAGTAAACTAAAGAAACTCGCGATTCTAAGGTAAAGACGCATTATTGTGAAATAGAAATACGCTTTATCGGGCTTATCCGATAAAGTTTATCGATTTGTATTATATTAAAGAGAAGAATATCGTTATCTTAATTGTTACGATTACAAACGACCTCCACATCATCAAATAAACATTAAATAAACCATATAATATTTAATATTAATAATGATTCATTCCAATTTTTTTTTATAAAGGTAGATTTTCTTCGGGTACCACTAATGGTACGCGTACCACAGGTTGAGAACCACTGATTTATAGTATAAAAATTGTGTAATCTGAAAGAAGGGGTCCAAGGAGTTTGGACCACTTATGTTTATTCTTTATTATTACACTACAGTATAATTGATATATTTATTACTACACTCTAGTATGATTGATATTATTAACATCATTTTTCGGGTAACCTTATTATCATATTTTTTTTTTATTTTATAGTACATTACATAAGTTTAATTTTGATATATGTTTAAAGACGCAGTATTTCCGGAACAATTTCAAAAGTTATATTTCGTAAAAAAGTTGCTATCTTAAATCCCCCTGTGAGCAAGTCAAGNCTTCGTAAAAAAGTTGCTATCTTAAATCCCCCTGTGAGCAGATCAAGTGTTAGATTTTCAAAAAAATGATATCGAATAAAAGGGAAATATCTAAGTTTTCAATAAAAAAAAATTAAGTTGTTTTGTTAATTTTTAAAAAAGTTATGGTAGTTTTAAGAAAAAAAATACAAAATTTACCGATTTGAGAAATTGTAATTTTTTTGGACATTTCCCCCATTTACAGGGAACAAGGGAATTTTTTCAATTTTGAAGGATAATATCTTCAACTAGATACGATCTTTTAACATATTGTTCATCAAAATCGGTCCAGGAGAGCTGAGTAAAAGTGGCAACAGTCACAAAAAAAAAAACACATCATGGTAAAATTAATACCTTATCAGTTTCGCATCGAAGCTAAAAAAACACATTGTCATGAAACCTTCTCAGATTCAAAGCTCAGGGAGTAATCAAGTTAGTGTTATTGTTGAGCTTAACTATTGTTGCGGCGAGTTATATATGGTCGCGTTCAAATTACAATCGGTTACATATAGTAAGTGGGGATGCCGTTCGCTGTCTGGTAAGTCGTCGCCTTATCTAGTCAGTCAAGCATTGTATGGTCTAGTTGATTAGACTCATTGGCGCCGCCACGAGTTTTTTCCGCGACTTTGCGGTATCGTAACGTAAATATGAATTCGGTGGATTTACCGTGCATGTGATCAATTTAGTTGATTCGTGTTTTGTTTCATTCAAACGATTGAAGTTGGTTGAATATAACAGTTATAATCCGATCCTTGATGTTCTGCCCAGGTCAGATTATTGAATTCTACAACACTTAAAATCTATATTTGTACTCATTTTATTGCAGTGTACTATTTAGTTGTTATTATTAATGTAAGTGGGAACTATAAAGTTTATTATTAATTAAACTAATATTGTTATTATAGACAAATTCCTTCTGAGTTTCTTTATTTACTAAGTTCTTGGGATTTCCTTTAATTCACGTCCTAAGTCCATCAGGCCAACCGATATTTAGGAGCCTGTAGACAAACAACTATACTTTTAAAGCATATTTTAGCTTCGATGTGAAGCTTAGAAGGTATTGGTTTTATTATGTGTATTTTTTTTTTTTTTTTTTGATTTTTATCACTTTTCTCACCGAACCAATTTCTTTCAACGATACGGCAAAATATCACAAATTGTATCTAATTGTAGATATTACCCTCAAAAATTGAAAAAATTTCTCTCGTTTCCCGTAAATGGGGGAAACCTCCAAAAAAATTATAAATTTAAAAATCGCTAATTTTCGAAATTTTTTTACTTAAAATTGTTATATCCTTTTCTAAAAATAACCAAATCAATATAATTTTTTGTTATAGATGCATAATGTCTTTATCTATCATTTGATATATTTTTTTTATAAATCTGACCTTTACCTGCCCACAGGGAAGGATTTAAAATGACAACTTTTTCACAAAAAATTAACTTTTGAAAGTGTTCCGGAAGCTCTGACACTTTTATATATATTTTAAATTAAAGCTAATGTAATACACTTTATTATAGAAATAAAAATTTGGGACTTTATTTTTTCTTCACAGTGAAAACAAACATCAAAGTTAATAAAAAAAAAATACGATTTTTGTAAAAAATTTTAATTTTATAATGTTATAACTTTTTGAAAAATATATGGATCAATATAATTTTTTTTATAGATGCATGATGTTTTTACCTATCATTTGATATATTTTTTCTATTAATCTGACCCTTTACCTGCCCACAGAGGGGGATTTAAAATGACAACTTTTTCACAAAAAATTAACTTCAGCTTAACTTTTGAAAGTGTCCCGGAAACTCTGACACTTTTATATTTACCTTAAATTAAAGCTTATGTAATGTACTTTATTATGAAAAAAAAAATTTTGGACTTTATTTTGTCTTTACGGTGATAATGGCTACCGTAAGCTATTTTTGTGTTAAAATTCTCGATTTTATATTTTTAATTTTAAAATTCTATAACTTTTTGAAAAATATATGGATCAATACAATTTTTTTTATAAGAAATAATATTTATATACTTCTTTCATTCGACGTACTTTTTTTTTAAATTGGACCATTTCTCTTTATATATTATAAATACTTATTTATTCATATATNCGTACTTTTTTTTTAAATTGGACCATTTCTCTTTATATATTATAAATACTTATTTATTCATATATAACACTTATTAATCATAAAACTTGTAATCAGGATATAAATAAGGAAATAGGAGATCATGTGTAGCTTTTGGGATAATCCATCAATTTTTTAAAATTAAACACTATCTACAGCTTTGCATCGAGGCGATTTTAATCACTGTCAGATATGATTATATTTGACCCAACTATGCCACGTCCCCAGTGTGCTGGTTTTTCTTTTCTGATTAGTCTCTAATAAGAAAATATTAAAAATAATTTTTTGAATTTTTATCGTTTTAACATTTTTTATTTATAAGTACAAAAAATGTGCTTTGTCAAAGCAAATGGGTGCGGAAATATTTCAAATGAGTAGTTTAATTGTTAAAGGGAAATAAACAGTATTTTATTGTAATTTTCAGGAATGTGTGTTTTCAGACTTAGTGATCAGTTATTGGGTTGATGACGATAGTACTGATTACAAACGATTTAATGAAAGTATTATCTAAAAGCCAACTAGATCTTTGTTGGGGAAAAAAGATTAGAAAAAAATAAAGCATAATTTTAATACACAAAAACAAAAAAGGTTTTAAGTTTAATCTATTGACTGGAGAAAACATATCGAAACCAGCGGCGTATTTATATATAGTCACTATAGGCAAATGCCTACAGCGGCAAATTTTGAGGGGCGCAAATATTAAGGATCGACAAATTTATAAAAAGCGAGTTATATTTTTATTGTTGTTATGACATTGACTTCCTAATAATTATCATAAGTTTTCATTATTGTGTATTTATGATGTTTATTGATAGCTACAGCAAAGTTAAATCTATTTTCAATTTCCCGATAACAATAGCAGAGGTTATTAATAATAAACAAATTGATTACTTTTACAGTACTTTTTTTTATCGTTGTATCTATAGTTTTTTAAACCGAAAAAAATGACTAATGTTATCTTAAAATATATTTTTAAATATGGAAGTGTATCGAAAGTTAAATCAGAAGTGCACAATGGCTTAGTGGTAAGGTTAGTCCCTAACCCAGCCATACCAAGTGAAAGGGTTGCTAACTTGTCACAGGGTAGTTAGCCGAAAGGTAAAGTGACCATTGGGATCCTCTATGGCACCTGGCGCACTATAGAGTATACAGCCTTATCACAGTATGTCACAGCTGTGACGGACCTTTATTTCTCGACTACTCGTGGGAACTATATGGATAAAAACATGGAAAAACCACAAAACAACGAACTTGTGATGATCAGGGATCCTACGGACAACCTGTCGGAACAAGATCGTGATCTGGCGACTCTTCGCAGAAGAATCGCCGAACTTGAAAGTCTCAATGCAAACAACGGGACACTTGGTGAACCGTCTACTAGCAAAGAGACAGCAACGTCAACAAATGTAGACCAGGAATCGCAAGATCAACTGGGAGCAGTAGCTGACAAAATCGAAGGTTTAAAACTTAGGCCTGAGAAACTGAGCGGCAGTCAGAGGCGCAAGCTGAAGAGGAGCCGAGCAATCATGGAGGGACAGAAGAACCTACCAAAGGAGGGAGACAAGGGAACTATAGGAACCCGAAAATAACAAACTGGGACAACTACAAAGCAGATGTCTCTCGTGACCTGAATAACCTACAGTTTAGATTGGGGTCGAGACAGAGTACTGAAAGAGCTGTAAATATGCTACAGGACTCCATTGTCTCGGCTTACAAAGAAAACTGTCCTTTAATAGAAAGGAAAGGTACAGGGCAAGGCGTAGCTTGGTGGAATGCTAACCTGTCCAAATTAAGAAAGAGTTCACGTAAGCTCTTAAATAAAGCTTATTAGAGAGTTAAACAAATATTGTTATACACAAGCTTATGCGGATGACTTGGTTATAGCAGTGGTGGGTAAATTCCCAGACACTATTACTAGACTTAGTANAAATTCCCAGACACTATTATTGACTTAGCACAACAGAGACTTAACACTATACAGATATGGTGTAGTAAGTACGGTCTATCTATTAATCCAAATAAAGCAGAGGTTGTTATGTTCACTAGAAAGAGAATAGGACTAGACAGTCTTGACACTCTTACTCTGATGGAGAAGAAATTAGTTTAAAATCGGAAGTAAAATACTTATGTATTATCTTGGATAATAAGCTAAAATGGAAATCACATGTTGAGTCAAGAATCAAAAAAGCAATGACCACATTGTGGACTTGCAGCAGAGCCTTGGGAAAGACATGGGGTCTTAAACCAAGAGTTATTTGTGTAAGTATTATAAGTGTATATATTTGTGATATATACAGATGGATCAAAAAAATCAGGAAAGGTAGGTGCTGGAATTTGGGGTTTAAATCCATGAATAATTGTCAGTATGTCATAAGCCACAGCTTCCTCCGTTTTCCAAGCAGAGGTTATGGCGATACTGGTAGGGGCTCTGAACTTGCTGGTATACAAAAATAGGAAGATAACTATCTTAAGTGATAGTCAAGCGGCTTTGAAAGCACTCTATAACGATCAGGTGAATTCAAAGCTGGTCCTCGAATACAGGGAAACTTTAGAATCACTATCGATGTTCAACAAAGTTACACTAGCGTGGGTACCAGGACACAACGGTGTCACTGGAAATGAGAATGCTGACTTTCTAGCCAGGAAAGGAGCAGAGAACACCTATGTTGGACCAGAACCAGTGGTAGGGCTCACTGAGCAATCGCTCAAAGCGTTACCCAAGAATTGGTGCAGAGAACAACACAGGAAAATCTGGAAGTACTTGGTAGTACCTAGACAATCTAAAATGTTTATCAAGACCCCTGGTCTATTGCTGGGTGATCTTAATAGCATGACTAGACATCAAATAAGCACCCTGACTGGTCTACTGACAGGAAATGGTCACCTGCTTAAACATCTTAACGCAATGGGGGTATCGGAATCACCATTGTGCAGGAAGTGTGGAGTAGAAGAGGAAGACTCATTTCACATCATGTGCGAATGTGAAGCCTTGTCCACACTAAGATCAAACTACTTGAATAAACCTTTTCCTGAAAAAGAAGATATTAAAAACCTAAAACTCAGAGAGATACTTAATTTCGCCAGAAAGACAGGACTCTTTGGTCATTTTTAGAGGTGACTTATGGTTGGTAGTGTATTAACACTTAGGTGGGTAAACCGAATCAAGACAATTCGGTATGAGGTGCGCACAATGGACAACAGGTCTGAGTGCATGGGTATTATGTCCACCTCCATAATAACTAAAACTAGTCTCTACAAATTTTTAGTGTGCTAGTTCTAATTCTGTATTGTGTCTCTTCTTTTCATATGATTTTCGGTATACTTTCGTTGACTGGCCATCGATCTTTGATAGTTATATCACATAGAAAAAGAACAATGACTCTATTTTATGACTCAGAACAAGATGAGGCATTAAAAATCATATGATATATTTGTGAAAAATAGCTCATGATGTATTATATTTATTTTCATATTTTACGATATGAATTAAGTACCCGATAGTTAATAATAATTAGTTACCTGATAATAAATAATTATTTTTATATATTCAATTTTACATTTATTAAGTTCAGTTCGCTTTTAAGAATTGTTTCGCACTCAGATTTACATGCATTCGTTATCCCCCTAGATACTTATGGCCATAGCCAATTAAGAACATACTGCTCTGAATACTACAGTACAGTGAACCTGCTTTATGGAACCATCGACCGCCCTATTATGAAGAAAGATTCCTTGACCATCTTGAAAACTTATTTTAAGGCGGCGTAGGTAAAGACGGTTAAAGTTACAAATTTAAAAATATTCAAATTATAATTAAAATAATGAAATGGCGGTTTGTGTAATTTTAATACAACAAAATTACATATTACTACGATTCTACTCTCTATAGTTGTATTTGTTTACTTGTTTAATTAAGCAGGTGTTGATAATGTGAATAAAAAAAAATGTTAAGAGCAGGACAGTCACGAAAGGATGTGTCACCCTTACTTAAAAATATTTGATCGTTTTAGGTCGACATTACCATTTTGTATATGGACAATTAAAAAAAAACAAGACTGCATAATTAAAAAAAAATTATATTATCGGTAAAAACTTTTTTCTACCTTTCCCATAATTTTAGTTCCATGACAGTTTTTATTAAATAAGAATAAGAATATTCATAGGAATATCCCTCGTATAAACTAGATATAACCGTTTTTTATAAATGGTCATGTTTTTTGGCAGTTTAAAACTTATTGTTTTTAAAAATATACCACTTTGAATTAACAATTTAGNTGTTTTTAAAAATAAACCACTTTGAATTAACAATTTAGGTTTAAAAATTAATTCAGTTAAAGAATGAATTTAAGATCATCCCATTTTACCTTCACGTACAATTAATTTTTTTTTTGTAAATTGGATATTGTTCAAAGCTAATCTTTACTTATTGGACTACTTTGATAAATGCTGAAGTATATCAAAACAGTTTCGCGATAATCAGTAGCGTTCGCTTGCCATATATATTATGTTCTATCCATTAAGTTTGCAAATAGGTACATATAATATTTCCAATCAATGATTAATTGAATCAACAGAAATCTTAATAAATTTTGCTAATTTATTAAAATTAATGCAGAAAAATAAAGTAGCTTTCGGAAGATATCTTGATGTGAACCATTTTCATTGCTTACAAATCCAAATTAAACTAAGTAAAATAAAATATGAAATTAGTTATACATATAATTGTTATCATGATTACAATACTTACACACCATTATACATAAACAAATAAATTTATTGTAACATAAATTAAGGTTTAATACTAAACATATGAAATGTAATAAAACAATTCTAAAAATATATATGATAATTACCATTGAAGTTCAAATGAAAATTTTGAATAGGATGTAATAAAATATCTAAAATAAATAATGAATAAAAAGAATCATCGATTTACTATAATATTTGTCAGTTAAAGTCTAACTAAAATTTTTTTTATTAAAAACTGATTACCTACCTTTTTTTTGTTTGAACAACTTTTATTTTAATTTTATACAGTGTAAAGTGGCGTTATTGTGCCATGATATTTAAATAATTTTTAACAAAATCAAGTTAATTAATTAAAACGTGTTTAAATTCAAAATACTTTTTTGAATATAGTGATTCCAATAAAACATCACAATTTTCTATGTAGTAATTTAAAAATTAATGACTAAACTGTAAAATGGATGTACATAATTAATTTCTTGTTTTATCTGTAAAAAAATATAAATCTTAGTCTAAAATCACTGTATATAGGTCAAGAATATGAGTGATGATGACTACTAATTTAAGTTCAATAATATTGAGCAGCCATATCTTCAACATCAATACCAAGCATAGCAAGTTCATCTCCCTCTGATTCATTGCCATTAGACTTATTTATGTTGTCTTTCCTGGACACTGAACTAATAAGTTCATCCAATTTATCATCAACTTCTTCTTCTTCATTTTTATTATATTCATCATCTTTCCCCATGTTTTTTTTCATATGCCTACGTTTTCGTTGTGACGGAGCATTTTTCTTTTTTTTCCTTTCTGGTGAACTATTTAACATTCTATTCATTTCAGGATAAATACATATATTTTGAGGATCCATTAAATTATTATTTTGGATGTTAACAGGTACACTAACACAAGTACCAATTGTTGGTTCGTTACAAGGAAAAATCATATTTAAAGCAGCATTTAAATCTTGAGGAAGTGAACTTGTATGTGGAAGATTAAAATTATGGAGAACTTCGTTTCTAGGTAAATCTATATTTAATTGTGGTTGAAACAAATTTGTTTTAGCACCTAGAATCATTTCATCATATTCATTTTCATCATCAATATCCATATCAATAGGTAAAGTTTGTTTTTCAATCTAAAAATTTAATAAAATTTTAAATAAGATATAAATAAAATAGTTTATAATATATTAAAATATGATAAAAATATTTTTTAATTAAATTTGTTTTTACTTATATATATATTTCACTTATTGTATTATAAATTTATCAATTTCGAGACAAAATTTCATGTTTATTTTTAAGTTTATTTACTATGTAATTAATGTAAACTATCTAAATTTTGTTTATAAGTAATAGACTAATATTCTTCATAAAATATTATATTTATTAATATAATAAAATACTTCAGATTTATGTAACACCTATTTCTCATGTCAAAAAATAGTTCTTACTTATCGAGATCAGTTTGATTTTCAATAAAAATGATATAATAATGGGGATAGGAAATTTTTTCAATTAATAAAAATATCTTAGCTAGATGATTAATAAAATATAAATATGCTATTATCTACAATGAACATTATTTTGGGAAAAAACTGACAATAAGTTTTATTCCAATTATTATTTAACTGAATGTAAAATTACCTTTTTTTCATTAATGGCACTAATCATATGTTCCATTATATGCATTCGAGATTCAACAGAGGTTACTGGTTTTTCTTTTAGTTCTTCACACTTAGTTTCAACCATATAGTTAGGAACTTCTTTAGATTGTGAACCTGCGGTTTTTTTAGTGACTGGCTTAGCAAATGGCATTTTACCAATGAAAGGTAGTTTTATTTTGCTACGGTTAATCATAATACAATTATCTTCTTTTTTTTCAGTAGAATCAATTGCTTTGGGTTCATCAAGCTTTTGTTTTTTATTTTTTTGAGTTTCTGATGTTCTTGATTTATATTCTTCCACTTTGTCGGTTTTATGTTTACTTAATTTTTCTTTAGCTTTTTGAACATTTTCTTTCAATGTTATCAAACTTTTTTCAACAGGTAAGTTGATAGGTTTCATCCAATCTGATATTGAAACATTATTAGAATCATTGTTTTCACCAATAATTGGGCTTAATTTGTTTTTTATTTCAGTGTTTTTTCTAGCTATTTCTCTTTTATTTTTTTCTTTATCTCTAAGTCTTTCTTTTTCTTTATCTCTTTCTTTTTCTTTTTTAAAATCCTTCTCAAAAAAAGACTTTTCTGGTTTTGATTCAATAACTATTGAATCTTTCAATTTTTCTTCTTTAATAAATTCTTGCTTAGGTTTATTTACTTGTAAAAGAGATTTTTCAAATGCTCGAGTTCTTTTAGTAAGCCAATCAATTTCCCAATTTGGTTCTTTAGCAATAAGAGCCTAGAAATAAAGTTTGTTAGATATTACAATATATATATATATGTACTTAAATTACTAAGATCTAAAATTTATAAAAAATTTTACCGCATATAAGTCATTATGACTTTTGGATTTAAAGTGAGCAGATGCACAATGAAGATCTCCAATCCAAGTATCACAGAGTTTGCAATACCAGGCTGTTGTTCCAATGAAAAATTCTAAGCCTAATTAAAAACATTTGATTACATACAAAATATAAATATTTTTATAACATTTTAATGGTTATATATAAGAATGTATAACATATTACTTTTAAACTTAATAAATTAAATAATACTAATTTATTAAATGAATATATATCTAGTGGGCAGATTGTTTAGTAGTTAATTAACGAATATTGACTACAGATAATTACTTTTTAAATATATGTATATATAAATTATATAACAATATAATTTTCAATGTAACTTGTAATTAAGAAGTAATAAAAATAAATATATAAATTTGTTATAACCTTTTATTGGTACACGTTTATTAGGAAGCTCAGGATTTTTTTCTGGTTGAGTGGGTTCAACTTGAGTATTGTGCCATGGTAATTCTACAATATTAAGTTCCTAGAAAAACAATAATTATAAATGAGTAGCTCTTAAATAGATGTTAACAAATTCTGAGTTATGAGTTATGAACTACTGAACTATGTTTTTAAATATAATACAGACCTCTAGAATTGTTTTATGCGATTCACTTTGTAAATGAGTTAAATATTCTTTAGCAGTCTTTGGAAATATATTACAAGTCTGGCACCAATGAATACAAGAATCACAATAAACAAAGTTAAATTGTGGAACTTTTGCGATATTTCGGTTTTTCTTTTTTTTACTTTCTAATGTTTCTTTAGACTGACGTGATTTTTTCAAATTAGAATCATCTTCATCAGATGATTGTGATCTTAAAGTTTTTTTTTCCTGCTTTAAAGAAGCAGGTATGCTATGTCTTTTTTTGTACTCTGAGGATGGTGATGAAGACTTACTATGGCTTTGACTTTTAAGTATAGAACTTCTTTCAAAATTTGCAATTGAATCTTCTTTA